GACTGGGAGGGAATTGGGGGGTGACCGGGGCTACTGGGATTGACTGGGAGGGACTGGGGGCTACTGGGGATCAGTGGGGGCCACTGGTGGTCACTGGGGGCAACTGGAAATGGGTGTGGCCACCACAAACCCAGTGTGGCCACCAAGAATTCAATATGGCTGCCGAGAATTCAATATGGCTGCCAAGAATTCAATATGGCCGCCGAGAATTCAATATGGCCGCCGAGAATTCAATATGGCCGCCAAGAATTCAATATGGTGGCCAAGAATTCAATATGGCTGCCGAGAATTCAATATGACCTCCGAGAATTCAATATGGCCGCCGAGAATTCAATATGGCAGCCAAGAATTCAAAATGGCCGCCATGATCTCAAAATGGCCGCCGAGATCTCAAAATGGCCGCCGAGCCCCCGAAGTGGCCGCCAGGAAGGTGGCCCTGGCCAGGGTGGGGGAGGGGTCGGTAACGCTCCGCTCTTCTCTCCTCTCTCCCCTCCCCCGCTGCCGGGACGTCCCAAAATTTACCCAAATTCACCCAAAATTCATCAAAATTCACCGAAATTCATAAAAATTCATCAAAATTCACCGAAATGCACCCAAAATTCATCAAAACCATCAAAAATTCACCAAATTTCACCCAAATTGATCAAAATTCACCAAAATTCATAAAAATTCATCAAAATTCACTGAAATTCATCAAAATTCACCAAAAATCATAAAAATTTATCAAAATTCACCGAAAATCATAAAAATTCATCAAAATTCACCAAAATGCACCCAAAATTCATCAAAACCATCAAACATTCACCAAATTTCACCCAAATTGATCAAAATTCACCCAAAATTCATCAAAATCCACTGAAATTTACCCAAAATTCACCGGATTCTACCCAAAATTCACCGAAAATCATAAAAATTCATCAAAATTCACCAAAATGCACCCAAAATTCATCAAAACCATCAAACATTCACCAAATTTCACCCAACTTGATCAAAATTCACCCAAAATCCATCAAAATCCACTGAAATTTACCCAAAATTCACCGGATTCTACCCAAAATTCACCGAAATCCACTGAAATCTGCCAAAATCTACCCAAAATTCACCGAAATCCACTCAAATCCATCCAAATCCACCAAAAATTCACCGAAATCCCCTGAAATTTCCCAAAATCCCCTGAAAATTCCCAAAATCCCCTGAAATTTCCCAAAATCCACCCGAAATCCATCAAAATCCACCCAAATTCCACCAAAATCCACCAAAAATTAACGAAATCCACCCAAATCTATCAAAACCCATCAAAATTCACCGAAATCCACCAAAAATTCACCGAAATCCACCCAAACCCACCAAAAACGGCCCAAAATCCGCCCGAAATTCACCGACATCCACCAACCTCCACCGGAATTCACAAAAAACCTCCCGAAATCCCCCAAAATTCCCCAAAATCCCCCGAAATCCCCCAAAATTCCCCCAAATCTCCCGAAACGCCGCGCGGGCGCCGGCAGAAGAAGATCATGATCATCATCTGCTGCGTGGTGCTGGGCGTGGTCCTGGCCTCCTCCATCGGGGGCACCTTGGGCCTCTAGGGCCCCTCCCCCACCCCCCCCGCC